CTCTCTCTCTCTCTCTCTCTCTCTCTCTCTCTCTCTCTCTCTCTCAATAAAATTAGTAACAATAACAGGTTATAATGATGATTATCATCAAGAAAAAAAAATAAAATTCCAACGAATTCAAACAAAACAACAAAAAAAATCAATTAATCATAATGAAAACTTTCTTTCATCTGATAATCTTTCTTTCTATCTTTTCTTTGAAAAGAAAATTAGTTTAACACTTCGTTAATTAATTAATAAATAAATAATTTTATTTCATTTCATTTCATGATGAAGATAATAATCTGTTGTCGATGTTAATGATAAAGATGTTTGTTTGCTGCTTTTTTTACATTAATTATTAATTAAATTTTGTTAGTTTTTTAAATGAATTTTATTAGTTAAAAGAATTTTTCAAATTAATTTAGCAATTTTAGCCATTGAATAAAATAATGAATCATGATTATTTAGTAAATTTTTTGGTGTATCATATTCAGCAATTTTTCCTTGATCCAATACTAAAATACGATCATAATCAATAACAGTATTTAAACGATGTGCAATTGTAACAATTGTACAATCACTAAATTCTTTACGTATTGTTTTCTGTATTAATTCATCTGTTTCCATATCGACAGCTAGATGGAGGAGGATTATTATTATTAGAAGTTATTAATTAATCAATAAATACATACCTGCAGTTGCTTCATCTAGAATTAAAATTTTTGATTTACGTAATAATGCTCTTGCAAGACAAACTAATTGTCGTTGACCAACACTAATATTTTCACCACTTTCAATAATTTTATATAATAAACCACCATCTAATGTTTGTACAAATTGTTTTAAATGTGCTAATTCTAATGCTTGCCATATTTGTATATCATCATAATATTGAAATGGATCAAGATTTGTACGTAAATCACCGGTAAATAAAACTGGATCCTGTGGTATAATTGTAATACGTGAACGTAAATCATATAAACCAATTTTAGTTATATCAATATTATCAATTAAAATAGTACCAGTAATTGGTTCAATAATACGAAATAATGCTAATGTTAATGATGATTTACCAGCACCAGTACGACCAACAACACCAATTTTTTCACGTGAATTTATATTAAATTGTATATTACGTAAAACAAGATTTAAACCTTGTCTATATCTAGTACTATATGATTGAAATTTAATTTCACCTTTTTTTGGCCATTGTCCAATGTTCGGTTTTGGAAATTTTTGTTGATAATTTTTTTCCTGTTCAATTTCCGAATATTCTAATATACGTTCAACAGAAATAATATTTGTTTCAACATCGGTTAATGTTCTAACAAACATTCCAATTACTTGTGTTATATTTAATGAATAACTAATTGCTAAACCAGCTAAACCAGGACTTAATACATTACGACTTAAAACAGCAAATAATGCAGCTAAAAATACAATAATATAACCAAAAAATTCTAATCGGATTGATAACCAACGTGCAGCAACACGACTACAATAATATGATGAACAATTTTTATCCAAACGATTATTACATTCATTAATAAATTTTTTTTCAACACCATATGCACGTATTGATGATATACCATTCACTGTTTCAGTAAAATGATGATAAATTGGTGAACGTGTTATTGATTCAATACGTTTTAATTGTCTTGATGATGCAATATAAAGACGTTGTACAATATAATAAAGAAATAATATTGGTATTAATGCAATTAATATTATTGGTGCTTCTAAACTGATCATTGCAAATGAAACAATTGTACGTAAAAATTGCATCAATGTCATTCGTATATTAAATGATAATGAATTATCAGCAACATCAATATCTTTTGTAAATCGATTTAATATACGTCCAGTTGGTGTTGTATCTATATATAGATCAAATGAATAAAGAAAGAAAAAAAATGATAGTTTTTAAAAAGAAAAAGAAACAGTGATTTCAAATTCAAAACAAATGTGCATGTATTATCTGAACGGTCCATCCATGCGGTCTCGACAAGAATGTAAACAAACAAACAAACAAATGGATAAAATATTCGATTTGAAAAACTTACCAAAAAATGACATTGGAGCAAACATAATTCGTTGTAACATATCATTATGTAATAATTTTGCAGCTCTTATACATGCTAAACTTAATATTAATGATGATGATATTGTAAATAAAATTTCAAAACTTCCTAATGATGCATAAATAATTAAACGAAAATTACGTAATGATTCATCAAACATTCGTATTGGATCTAATGCATCATTACTCCATTCAGTTAACCATAAATATGTTGCCATTTGAAATCCATTACCAACAATAGCAGCAATAAATATAAAAATTGTAACACTAAGTCCAATTTTTCGAAAATATTGTCCATAAACGGTAAATTTAACTGAACCAGTTTGTGCAATTTCTTCTTGTATTAATTTTCCTTTATCTTTTTGTTCGGTTTGATTTTTTTGTTGATGAATTTCTTTTGATAGATGAATACTCATCGAACCTTGATGTCCACGAATCGAAACTTGACTGTCAATTGAAGAACTAGTTGATAATTCTTTACGATGTTTTGGTTTTGTTTTTTTCGGTGAAGTTGTTGATACAATTGATGTGGATCGAACAAATGTTGAATCTGTTCGTGATTTGGATCTTTCCAGAATTGGTCGTACTTTTTCAGCAAACGATTTAACCATTTCAGATTCATTTACACTTAAACTTAATTCAATTTCATTTCCACCAAAATTTTCATCCATAAATTCATTGATAAATTCGGCAAACGCACCTTGACTATCCATCAATTCATTCATAGTTCCACGTTCAGAAATTTCACCATTTTTCATAACAATAATTTCATCCACTTCAGGCAATATCATTGCACGATGTGTAGCCAATATTCTTGTTTTATTACAAAGTATTCCTTTGTTACCAATAACATTTTGAAATAATTTATCACCAACATTTGCATCCACAGCACTGGTAAAAAAATTTGTATTTTTTTTTTATATTAAACAATAAATATTAATATAAACACATTACCTTAATGGATCATCTAGGATATAAATATCAGCATCTGAATATACAGCACGTGCTAATGATATTCGTTGTTTTTGGCCACCAGATAGATTGATACCACGTTCACCGATTTCAGTTCGATCACCTGCTTCCAATATTTTCATATCGGCTTCCAAACAACATGATCTTAGAATTTTTTTATATTTTTGTTCATCATATGACGAAGCAAATGTAATATTTTTTCTGACTGTTTGATTTTGTATCCATGCTTGTTGTGGTACATATGCTAAACGGCCATCAACATTAATATGTCCTTGTAATTTATCCATATCGCCTAGAATTGCACTTAAAATTGATGATTTACCCGATCCTACCGTACCAACAATGACAATTAATTTTCCTCTAGTTACATTTAAATTTATATTTTTCAATGTTGCCGGACTTTCTGGTGACCAAGTGAATGTACCATTTCGAATTCTTACTGAACATTCTTCATCGGGTAATTTTTTTACAGCACGTTCATCTTGTTCATCTGTATTCAGATATTTATTAACACGTGTCATTGATACATAAGATTGTACACCGTTTGTCAATAACATTGGTAATAATCCAAGTGGTGCACGTATTATACTGAATAATGATAATGAAACAAATGCTTTGTTTGGATCAAGTACATTTCCCATTAATACAAATGTAGCAAATGTTAATAAACCAACTAAAAATGGTGCAGCCGTAAATGCAAATACAATAAAACCACTGAATAATGTTACACGATATAAAAGACGACATTCAAAATTACGAAGTTTTGTAATCATTGTTAAAAATGAATTTTCCCATGCATAAAGTTTTAATACTTTCATTCCATTAAGTATTTCGTTCATTAATTTTGTACGTTTATCTTTTTGTCTCATCACTTGTATTTGATATGATCGTATTTTTTTCATTACAAATCCATTGAATGGTATAAGAATTATCATAAAACTTAAACCGGCCATTGATGCTACTTGTACTTGTTGCCATAACATATAAAATGCAATAGCAATCTGTAATGGTGCTGACCATAACATATTTGCAACAACTAAAAAATCTGTTATACGTTCTGAATCTACTGACATAATATTTGTTACTTCACCGCTTGAATATTGGGCACGGCTTAAATTTGACATTCGCAAACTCTGAAAAAAAAAGAAAAGAAACAACCATAAAACAAACAATAATAATAATTTATATCCGGGGTAAGCAATCCAATTCTGATGTTACTAAAAATAGATTTTTTTCTTAAATATAATTTTTACTTACTTTTTTATAGATAATAGATATAATTGAAATACGAGCTCTTAAAACAACAATGCTGATCCAATATTCATATTGATTAGACATAATCGATTCTAATGCTGGTGATAAAAACATTAATGATGCATAAAAAAATCCATGCCATAATGGTTCATTATTTGTACTTATAAAGCTGATTAAATAATCTAAAATTGTTGGATTAACAAATGTTAATATTGATGATAAAAATTTTAATAAACCACTAAACATAATCAATGGCCAATATGATTTGAATATAATCCAACCAATATTAATATTTGTATTAAATTTATCATTCAATGGTTGTTCATAACCATTTTTATTCTGTTCAATTAATTGTTTATTCATTTTACGCCATTTATCTTGATCCAAATTTTTTTGAAATTTTCTTAATATTTCAACTGTACGATTATCATAATCTAATTGAAATATATCACGTTCTAATAATGGTCGACGATAACCTAACCAAATGATTGAATTAAACCACCAAAATGTTATTCGTGATAAAAATCCAGCATGAAACCATGGATTTATTTGATTATTTGATTGTTGTTGCTAATTATTTTTATCGTTTTCAATATAAGAAAAACAAAATTTGGATGATAAGATCATGCATTAGTACGTGCCATATATATCGATGATATTGATGATGATGATGGTCATAATAATAATAAAAAATATTTTGGGATAAAACAAAAACCATTAATCGGAAATATTTTCTTTCTCTAAATAATTCATAAGCAATGGATCCTTTCATTTTCCCTTTTTTTTTAATGGTTTTATTTTCAATATGTCTATCGTCTATAGATTTTATGACTATTTTCATCATCTATGTTTTTCTACTGAAAAAAAATCTACTCAAAACCAAACCAAAACCAAAACCAAACCAATATTTTTACCTATTTGGACACTAAAAATGGCTAACAAATTCGTCTAAACCAGAAAAAAAAATTTTCCTGATAAATATAACTGAAAAATAAATCAATAATCATAATAGCTCAATGATAATAATAATAAACAAAAAAAAAATTTATAAATAAATTACATTATTTGTTTGATGTTTAATATGACGATGACGATGATGACGATTACGATCATTATCATTATTATCATTATAACCGCTTGAAAGGGGATATTTTTCCAAATTATTATTATTATTATGTTGATCAATATTGGATGATGTTTTTGTTATTGTTGTTGTTGTTGGTTCAGGATAACTAAAACAATTGAATAATAAATAAAATATTGCCAATATAGTAGACATTGTACGGCATATATAATGAATATAATTAATTTCAACATAATATATGCTATCCTATGTTGATCATGATTATGTTGATGATGATTATGAATGACAGTAGAATGATTGATTTTTTCCCCCCACCACCATAAACCATCACCATTAAATATGGAAAGTTTTGTTTTGTTTGTTTGTTTGTGCGATTGTTCCAAAATGCGATTTGAAAATGCGATTTGAGAATATTTTTTTGAAACAGAAAAACGAAAAAAAAAATAATGATATTAATAACGATGAAGTTTTTCATTTTTTTTTTGTTTGTTTGTTTGGTCATTTGCTTCTGGGTTTTTTTTCTTTTTTTTTCATCCAAAAGTATCGTTTTTTGTTTTTTTGGAAAAAAACAAAATGGTGAATAAAGTGAGAAAAAAAAACAAAACAGAAATCGATACAAATTAATCGAATCAATATCGTTTCAATTCTCATTCATTTATCTGTACTAAAAAAATTGACCATTTGTATTTTTTTTTGTTACAGTTATCTCTCTATATATGGAGAATATATTGTTAATGATATATATCGATACGGTCGATCAATCGATCGATCGATCGATTGACAATGATGATGATATAATAATAATATTGAAGCGATTCTTTGACAAACATAAAGAAAGAATTTACTACAACAAAAAAAAAATGATATCGTTTTTTTTTCTTTACTGTTAAGCATCATCATCATTACCGATTGTCAATTGTGTCTTTGTGTGTGTGTGTGTGTGTGTGTTGTTCATTATAACATTATCATCATCATCATCATCATCATTGAAATGTAAAAGAAAATCATAAAAATTATTTAGAATTGCACTCAATCTTTTTTTGGATGTTACTATTGTTACTGCTGCTGCTGTATATTGTGATATTGTGATGGTACTTACATCAGTAAAAATAGCCAATAAAATTGTACGAAAATTTATCATATGATAAATGGCAAATAATAATAAAAATATAAATATCGATCCAGATGAATAAATACCCATACGACGAAATAATAATGATATGTAAAACAAATATATCTATATTTTGGTGTTTGGTCGGGGGAGGGGGATAAAGCAAAAAATTACAAAAAATTATAAATGAATTGATTAAAGTAAAGTAAAGTAAAAAAAAAATCTGATTGATAAGATTAGAGAAATGAGAGATGAAAAACAACAACAAAAACTTGAGAAACATTGTGATATGTGAGTGGAAGAAGGAAAGCAAGTAGAAACACAGAAGAAGAAACAAAAATCTAATCTAATTATCTAATTAAACTAATGACAAGCATTTTTCCGGGTTTTACTTTCACACAAATACGAGAAAGAAAAAAGTTTTCATTAAAGAAGATGATGAAGAAGCAATGAAGAAGAAAAATTCATGAATAAAAAATCATTTTCATTTTTTTTCTCTCTCTCTCTCTCTCTCTCTCTCTCTCTCTCTCTCTCTCATTTTTTTTATATATATGTT